CCAAAAAAAAAAAAAAAAGAAGAAGAAGAAGAATACAGGCAACTATACTTTCTTAATATCAGGTGTATTGAAATCATACTACCTTCATGTTTTAAAGAAGATCATAGTTACTCTTTTCATCCAGTTCATTTCCCAGCAGTGAACTTGAACAGTATCCTTCATAGGTTATATTTTCTTTCTATTTCTATTTCATCCATCTTCCATTGGAATGCATATAGTTTCTTTTATTGAATCCATTATTTGGGTTTTAAAAATCTCATTTACCTATTATGTGTAACCGTAGCTATTAAATATTGCCAACTGGATTAAGTGAAACTCAATATTATTAAAATGGCCTTGCTCTGTAAAGTTGCCATTTCCCTGTTTTATCTTAACCTTAGAAATGTGCTTAGAATAACTGAATCTGCATTTGTCGTCAGGAGAGGCTAACTTCATAATCACAATTACACCTAAATGCAATGTAAATGTGATCTGATCATGTGCTCAGGATGAGACTAACCAATGAAGCCTAGGCATTGAAAGTCTATTTTCCAGCATAGATCAACTAGGCTAGTTGCCACAGACCGGCTGCAGAAAAATAACCGGGGGGTGACCAGCAACTTGTGTACATTGATATAGCAGGAGTGGGAGCCATTTATTGTAGGACATTAGGGGTATATATATATATCTTACACACAGCTTATCTTAATTAACATAAACTAGATACAGCAGTCAACCAATAAGGAATCTCCACACTTAATGGCGTTACTTCACAAACCACTCCCTCTGGCAAAATGCCAGGCGCCATCCTGACTTGTTTACAAACCCTAACAGCTAGTGAAATCAACATCCATGGGGTGAATGACAACAGATTCACTAGATCACCTTAGGGCATAGGACACCTTCAAAGAAAGGATAACTCCAGAAAAGGATACACTGATGATAAATGGGTTCCTTATGACCCCTATACTCCAAACCGACTATATGAGGTCCATCATCATACACTAGCTCTTGTCTTTTATAGTAAAGACAAGGCTATGGCCATTTTCTATTAAGTGAGTGTTCCGTAGTTTTACTTTGCTTTTCCCATGGGAGTAGGAAAGGTTGAGAGAAGATTCCACATTATTGCCTGAACTATACTCACTTACAAAGTTGTCCAAGGATAAAGGATAAGGTGACAGGTAGTGAATCGTTGTGGAGTTCAAGCCCAGCACAGAGGGTTTGTTATGTCTCTGTCTAACCAATTAAAGCAATTTCCAAAGACCTGAATGTAGCCTTCTTTTTTCCTTCTTAAATATTTGCATGTCATTCTTTTGAAAGGACTGTGATCCTTTTTTTTTTTTCTACATTAATTACAGTTAACATATGTAGCTGAAGCATCTTCTCATTCTCTTTCCAACTTACTCTCTCTGGCCCCTCTGTCCTCTACTAGCTGCTGCTACTGGGGCTGGTGGTAAACCTGTTCTCCTCCAGCTTTGTGTTTGTTTTTTTTCTCCTGCTCTTCTGGAATATAATATACATGTACAATCATCATGTGCATACACATCCAGACATGCACACCCACGCTCTCTAGCACATTTCTTCCTTGCTAACAGCTCCATTTTTTGTTGTTGCTGTTAGAGTCAACACTTTGCAGATGGAATGACCGTATGACTTTCTGGCCAATAGACATAGGAAGCAGTTTTGAGGTGTGACTGCAGAGTTGGTGGGCTCTTTAGACCTCTCCTCCTAAA